ATAGCAACCCTACAGGACAGAGTAGAACTGCCCCATTGGGTTTCCAAGGCTGTCAAACTTTACAGACCCAGACTACCATACCTTTTCCCATGGAGTGGCTGGTGCATTCGAACTGCCAACCTTTTGGTTAGCAGCCAAAAGCCTTAGCCACTGCACCAGAGCTCCTTCTACCCTCACCAGAGAGGGACTATTAGCTCATACGGATATTTCTGCTGTGACTCATAACTCTCCCGGTGAACAACAAAAAATGAACATCTCGCTTAAAATAAAAACTATTTTCAGGCAGATACAGATTTATTCTATAGGCAAAGTGATCAAAATCTGAAAACTGGCTTTCATTCATTTCTCCATGTAAGAACATATTTTTATTATTAAGACTGAGCAGTTTCTGAAAACTGCTGTATTCCCCATTTCAAAGCATTTTTGAAAACCTTCCTTTTGCAGTGATATGCCATAAAGGAAACCAGCTGGCTCCCTTAAAAATCAAGCATAGCACCTTATCCCATCCTCTCCTACAGTCTCTGGCTGTTCTATTCTGGTCCAATCAGTGGCAAGGTCTCCAAAGCAAGAGGCAGCCTCACCTTGTGACCATGCTCACTCAAAGCAGTGTTCTTCCTAAATGAGTGTAAGAGCTATGTGGATGACAACCAAGCCTGACTTGTCCCCACCCTTTTCCTCAGCTCAAAGCCTCACTTGAAAGGGTAGAGTGACGGGGACCAAAGGGGAGAGAAATGAAGAATGAGTCACTTTTGACAATTCCCTGACACAGTCCAGCGTGGAAGAGCAGTAGTTGTTAATTTATTCATTCTCCAATGCATCAAAGATGAAAGTGGGAAGAGAAGAGGGTCTGCTAACAGATCAAAGATGAGGAAAAGGAACAAGTCTTAGCAGGGTCATGAGCCTGAAATAATTTCCTGGCCAGTGTGCCCCCACATCTTTCTCCCTAGCTGACTAGTACTATCCTCAAGCACAGCAAGGACCAGGTCGAAAATAAAATCTAACCCCTACACACAAGAAAAGACCAGCCAATCTTGTTTAATAAGCATGCTCACCTTGATCCCATTGAAATTATCAACGGCCAGGATTGTGCTCCTCTGGTCTTCATAGCAGAGGAAACAGAATCCTTTGGACTTCCCAGTCTTCTTGTCCCTCACGAGATTAATGTTAACAACCTCTCCATACCTATTTATTTATAATAGAGGAAGAACCAATGATTTAAAATGCAAACTCTTTCAGGTTGGTTTAAAACACAAAATTCAAATTAACAGTACAGTCCATACAGGAGACCAATCTACAACAGGATGATGTAGAAAGGTTGAAAATAAAAAATTAGACAAAGATCTAGCAAGAACACCCAAATAAAAAATATATATATAGCTGACAATACTAACAGAGAAAAATTCAACACCAAAAAAAGTTATTCAATGGGATGAAGAATATTATCTCACATTGAAAAAGGTCCTAATACAAAACAAAGGTGTAAGTTACTGAACTTCATGTATCAATTAACAAATTAAATTTTAAAAATGTATTAGATACTGAAATATTAATGCTGAAAATGCTTCTATGATTAAACTAGTGTGGTACTGCCACATGAATAGACAGAGATAGAAGAAGAAAACAGAAGAGAAGGCTAAGAAGAGATCCAAGTACATATGGGAAAATTAGTACAGAGAGAAAATTATTAGAGAGAAAGAATGACACACACAATGTGCTAACATGCTTACATCTGGGGAACCTGGGTGGAGGGATATAGATATATTTTTTTTTCACTTTTACTGTGGTGAAAACATATACAACAAGACATTCACCAACATAACAACTTCCCCATTTACAGCTCAGGGACAATGATGACATTTTTCATGTTGTGCCATCATTATTGCTATCCTTTTCCAAAATATTCCACCACAGTTAGCATAAACTCAACATCGCCCAAACAAAAGTTTCCCCTTTCCCCCTCCCTCGTACGCCTGGTAACTACTAATAATCTTTGGTTTCTGTTTTTTTTTTTTTCCCAACCAGTATAAATATTCTTTACACTCTCCTACAACTTCCCTGTTTTAAGTCTGACATTTCAAAATAAAAAGTAAGTTGAGAAAAGAATACAGAAGCTGGCTTGACGGGGCTCCTAAACCAAACTTGTTGCCATAAAATTGATTCTAGCTCATAGCAACCCTAAAGGACAGAGCAGAACTGCCCCATAGTGTTTCCAAAGCTGTAAGCTTTATGGAAGCAGACCACCACATCTTTCTCCCATGGAGCGGCTGGTGGGTTCAAACCACATTTCACTGCGTCAAACTGACCTTTCAGTTAGCTTAACCAATGCACCACCAGGGCTCCTAGTGATCTTCAAACTGGAACAATATGAATGTCAAGAAAGAACAGTGATGGTCATGTACTACAACATATCCAATTATTTAAAAATGAATCCACAAAGACCTAATATCTTTATTATATGAAGGACTCTTAAAAAATTAATAGGAAAACACCAATAGAAAACTGCAAGCAGGAAATGAAAAGGGACTTACTGTGAGAACACACAGATGATATCCCCTTCTGTCAGTTCATAAGGAAGCCCTCCTAGAAGAGGAAACCACATTGCAGCACAACATTTACTAAAAGTGTCTACTAGGGACCATGCACTGAGCCAAGTTCTAGGGGTGCAAAGAAGAGTAAGCCATGAAGAACTGACAGTCTGATGCAAAGACAAAAGTACACATAAGGTTCAGAAGTACAGAAAAAGGAGGGATTCAATGTCAGTGTCATCCTTAAGCAAGCTGAACTCAGTCTTCCTCATATTCACAATCCTATTTACAAAGCAGGTAGGTCCTAGCACAAAACTCTGTTTCTAGGAATTTATCTTGAATTCATTCATCTGCTCTTTATCTAGATTTTATAACTAAGATCCAAAATTAGCTTAAATATGTTTCTATCAGCCCCACTCACTCATACACTAAGGATTATAAAGATAAGTGTTAGTCATTTCATGGGAAATAAACTCCCCTCCAAATGTTTCCTTCCTCAGCTGTAAAATGGAGATACTAGCCTCGGAAGAAAGGTTGGGCAATCTACTTCCGTAGCGATACTGCCTTGGCAACCTAAGGAGGGGTTGCTATGAGTTGGGTCCGACTCGATGGCACATAACAACAACAACAACAACAACAGCACTTAGCTCACAGGACTGTTACGGGAATTAAATAAAACAATGCAGATGAAGCACTTGGGATAGGTTATACTTATGACACAAAGTGAATATAGGGATGGTGATATGGCCATGGGCAGAAGGCAGGAGCTAATTAGATGTAGAAAATGAATTTTGAGAGGTGAGAGGTTGGGGGTGGCATTACAGTAATATGGAAGAGTGGAAAAGATCATGAGTTCTAGAATCGCATAGTATTGGCTACTCCACTTATTAATTATGTGACCTTAAGAAAGTCGGTTAATTTCTCTGAGCCTGTTTCCTCAGCTGCACAATGGGAGTGAGGCGGAACACGGTAAAGGTCTCTGAGAAGCCCGCGAAGGGCTCTTAGCACACTGGATGGCACACAGTAACAGTAACGTCCATGAGCATCGATTTGGTAGGGAGAAGAAACTAGAAATAGGGGAAAAAAGAATGATAGAAATGGATGCAAGAGCAGATAGCAGATGAATAAGAGTGATGAATGTGGGCAGAAGAGAGGGAATGCTGAAAATGTTAGGAAGTAGCCAGGAGACTCACCCAGGAAAATCCAAGCACTGTCCTTGTACTCAGAGTGCCACGACACTTTATCGTCTACCCCAAGCTGGACCTCTCGCTCATTCAGCTCGTTGATGAGCTTCACCTTAGTCAAAGGGCTGCAGAGGGGGTGGAAAGGAGACAAGAAAGTGAGGCCAGAGCTGAGCTAAAGGAAAGCTGGGGATGAAGTCTAGTCTCTGCGCCTCTCCCGCCCCTCGGCCCCCCAGACGCTCTACCACTCCAGCCCCCAAGGGCCACCTCCCGGCAGATAGCACCCGCTTTTCAGAAAAACCCAGGGCCTTACTTCATCTTCGCGGGTCGGTACTCCGCACCAAGACTAGGGCTTCCGGGTGAAGGCGGCGTGCGCACGCGCAGCCCCAGTGCTTCGCGTTCATTGGAATAGGCGGAGCATGCGCTGGAAGAGCTCGACGCGTCACGGGCATGGCGCTTGCGCACTAGCGCAGAAGCGGCTTTTCTCTTCAGTATTGTTTTCACCTCCAAAGCAAAGCAAACCCACTGCTATGAAGTGGATTTGGACTCGTGACGACCCTATAGGACAGAGTAGAACTCCATAGAATTTCCAAGGCTGTAAATCCTTATGGAACACGGAAGCAGACTGTCTCACCTTTCGGGGAGCTGCTGGTGGGTTTGAACAGCTGACCTTTAATTAGCCAAATGCTTTAACCATTGCACCACACCCATAAGGGAGTTTTTCTCTATTCCCTCGCCCCTGCCCTCTGTGAAATGGGGCAAGGGTGCTAGGTTGGTGTGTCACAGAATTCCCAGCTCTTGGCACAGATTAAGGAATTCTAGTGATGTAGTGGTTAAGGTGTTTAGCTGCTAACCAAAAGGTCAATGGTTCAAACCCACCAGTCGTGCCGTGACAGAACGATGAGGCAGTTGCTTCTGTAAAGATTTACAGCTTTGGAAACCCTATGGTGTTATTCTACTCTCGTATAGGATCACTATGAGTTGGATTTTGATGTGGAAGTGTGCAAGATGGGTTCACATTTTGTTATGGCTTAAATCTTACATTGTATGCCACCATCTCTTCTACTGGTTCCTGGATATTTCTGGAGTGCAACCTATTAGGCAAATATATCTTGTCTCCTCAGTTATTAGCTCCATCTTGCACACTTATCAAAATCTGGTCTTGGACCATGATGTTTTAAAAGTGAAGGTCCAGAGCTCTGAAGTTCCCTGTGTAGGCATAGATCAGAGCTACAGACATTAGGTCCTTCATGAAAAGCATTTTGATGATGAAGATGGTGATGGTGATGACAACTGTATCCTCAAGTGGCTCACTATGTACCTGTGTCCTGCCAAGTGGCAGAACAGAAGCTGCACACCCATGACAGTGTCTTCTCATTCATTCTGTGTCTGTCTCCACTCCCCCACCCCAGCCATTCATTAACTTTGTAGGATTATCTTAGAAATGAAAACTAAACCGTGACAGATTACATATGGATTTATCTACCTCTAGGAATCTTAGGTTGCTTAGTTGTGGGGTTGAAATAGCCACTGCAAAGTGGTGAACTAGCATGCAGCATTATCTGGTTGACTACTTCAAGTGACTATGAAATGAGAGAGTTGGGGCTACACCTGGGGCTATGATGGGCAGGAGTAAAGCCAACAGATTTCAGAGGACATGTTGATGACAGCAAACCTAGGTAGTGAAAAAACATGTTAGGATGACTATTAGGACTCTTGTTTGAGAGACCAGTTGGAGCATGATACTCTTTGCTAAGGTAAGACAAACAAGGAGGTAGGCCAGTTTGGGAGAAAACTGATGAATTCACTTGGGAAGTCATTGAGTCACAAGCTCCTGAGGGAGACTGAATTCATCAGTTTTCTCCCAAACTAGCCTACCTCCTTGTGTCAGTTTCCAGAATTACAAAATGTTCATCTAAAAATATTAATATCATACAGTAAAACCTGCAAAAGTTGGAACCTGTGTAAGACAGAAACCTATCAGAGAAGGAAAATTCAAACATTTTTCACTAAAACTGAGTGATATTAAAGTGATAAGATTGCACCCTGTCAAAGGCAGTACCTTTCCATACCTACCTCAAGCAGCACAATTTCAGAAGTTGGAAATGACTTTTTGAAAATGTTAGGGCTGCTATATGGTGTAGTGCCTAAGGCATTTGACTGCTAACCAGAAAGCTGGTGGTTCAAACCCACCAGCCACTCCTCAGAA